TGTGTAAATTTATAAATAAAAAACGATTATATTAAATTCAGACAGTAGGATTTAAGTGGTTCAAAGTAGTAACAGACAGAACAAAGTAAGTCACCAAGCAAAATAAAATAAAATGCGCAAATCTTGATTATCACTTCAAAAGTTTTTTTCTCTTAATTAATTGGCCTCTCAGAGGTGGTAAGACAACTCCCACCTGTTTATGCTCTCTGTATGTGTGTATATATATCTCCTCAATATATGTTCCATTCTATATGCATCCGAAGAAGTGGGCTATAGTCCATGAAAGCTTATGCTCTAATAAATTTGTTAGTCTCTAAGGTGCCACAAGTCCTCCTGTTCTTCTTACTATGAACTTGTCTTTAACAAAATAATGAGCCCTATCATGCTCCCAATAAAATAAATTGGAGTTTTGCCATTGACTTCAATAGGAGTTGGGCCAGAATTAGTAATGTTATCTCGGGCAATATATCCACAGTTGAGATACCGTGAAGTGTACTGGACTTTCAATGTTTAGTTTCATGCTTCAATTATTTATAATGCAAAACTGCCGTGCACTTAATCAAATCCACCTACCTATGTGACTTTTAAAATTATAGTTCTAAAAAATAATGGGGCTCTGAAATCAGAAGACAATTTAGAATCACAAATTAGATCATATTTAATATATATTTAACTAACTTGATATAAATCAGCTGCCTTTATAAATGCCTAACATGCTACTTAAAATTCTTCCAAAAGATTACAGAATATATGTTTATGAAACAAACTTTTATGCTTTGCATCTTCCAGACTGAGGTATATAATGTACCATATTAAGAACGCATATCAGTGGGGAATTTCCTTACATTCACAATGTGTTCAAAGGAAAAGCATGTTTTTATATGTTATTACAAAGGGAACATTGCACAACAAATTTATAGCAGACATGAAAGAGGCTGTTTTGTGTAGCTGCTACAGGCTAGATTCAGGTTTTTTAAAAAAAGTCTGCGTGACTCCTTAATAAAATGGTATTTTAGAGTGGTGTTTTTAAGTAACTCTCTGTCCATGGATAATGGCACCTTTCTCTCACCATTTCTATTATGTGTCCACCTAGTTTTCAAGAGCTTATAACCTGGTCTTCTGAGTTTGCTGTGGTCTGAATCTGATAGTCTGCAACAGCCAGATAACAGTGGCTTAAAAACATTACCAACATAGGTTAGATAAGAACTTGTGCCACAGTGGCAAAAGGATCCGTATACCATTACCTCATAGGGCTTTATGAATGAAGGATTTTCTGTGCATGTATCTCTGGTAGTCTGTTAAATTCACGGTTGCAATTATCAGTTATTCTGAAGTCCAAAATAAAATAGAAAACTAGGTGTTTTTTAAAAACTACAGCAGTCAGAGTTTACCTTGTGAAATTTCGTTTAAATAAAAAGAAACCGCTTTGTATTTCACTTCACAAAGCTTGGAGCTCTTCCAGCATTGCTCTGTCAGAAGCCGTGCATTTTCATTCTACTCCATTCCTGATAAGAGATTATTCATTTATGGATGGGTGGCTGTAAAAACTTGCCTCATGCATATGAAAATGGTAATGTTTACCACAAGGAGATTTCATTGCAGCTGAAAAGGGGTTGTGGCAACATGTTCCTTAGCTGGGCTGTCTCTTCTACAAATGGACTTGGCATTGCTCACTTCACCCTCAATGGAATTTTTTGCCACTTGCCTTGCCACTAGCTAAGCAAGCTGTTCGATTTACTTACAGATCATGATTTTGGAAGGAACTGGCAGAATGAGTATCAATTCCAGCAGCAATCTACTTCACCAGCAGCCTTCCTGGACAGATGGATATCCCACATGTAATGGTAGGAGGAATTCAACAATGGTGTACTATCTATATTTTGGAAAGTGTGTGTGTGTGTGTGTGGGGGGGGTATTATGCCTTTAAATATACATAGGTATGATTTTTGACCTCTACACTATCCAAACTCCTTTATATTCTATTGGAATTTCACCAGGAGGACGGTGTGCCTAGAAATGATGATAATTTGTGGTTTATTACTGGTTCTTTTTCTAAAAGTGAATTGAGTGCTAATGAAAAGTGCTGGATTGACAGCCCCAAAGTTCCCTTTTCACAGAAAAAGTACAACACGGGCAGCAGCAATGCAAGCTTCACACACTCACTGCTCAGACATTATTCTTTGATCTTGACCTGCAGGGACCACTTGAGAAGGGAGTTCAGTTTTCTTGCTCTTGCACAGTATTTGCCTTCTCAGCTCAGACTACTAGAAAGACAGACTGACACTGAGGGTTATTGCCAGTGATGGGGATTTTTATGAACCCGTTCAACTCATAATGGACAGAGATGTCCAGTTCCATTTCACATAGGCCACTAAACAGCCATCAGATGGTGAGGGCTTTGGGTCAGTATCAACCCAAGTTCTAGCCTGAGCAGTGACTTAGAGCTATAGGTCCTGTTCCATTATTTTCTGAATTCTGAATGGTGGTAAAACTGGGCACCTATATATTATATGAGATACACCTTTTAAGATCTTTCCCCGCTACGCAATACAATGTCACAGTAGCAGCAGTAAACCTTAAAATCAAGCCAGGCAAGCATCTTATATCACACACTAATCACAGTCCTGTAAAATGCTATAACAAAACATGCAGTGAAGATTCTCTCATTCAGAACTAAAAGGAGCTCTGTTTCTTTTCTCTGTGTGATTCCTAAATACCTTAGAATATATAAAAGTGCCCTTGATAAACACACTAGGTTGCCTTTCATTTTGTCTACAAGGATTCATGGTGAAAATCATGTTTGATTGAGAAGCACTAGTTTCAGTTTACATGGGATTTTGCCAGCCTAAACTGGTGGCTTCTATTTGCAGGGATTTCTACCTTTGCAATCATTCAGTAATCACTTCCAGTTTTGAATTTACATGAGTCTGAAATTCCAAGTCAACCTGTATCCTCCTCTCTGCAATTCTCTCCACATGCCCACTCTCCTCTCTCAACAAGAGCCCCTCTTTGACCTTTAAAGTCTTCTGGTTTGAGAACTGGTGGCTGCAAATGTCCTCTCCCCATTTCTAAGACTGCAGCCTGCAGGGACAGAGGCAACCATCTTTCTCAGGTTCTTCAGAGGGTGCCCAGAGGCTTCTAAATCTCATTGTTACTTTCTGGAGCCCTCTACATAGAATTAATTCCCCACAACCCTGCAACTGCAGGCTGCAAATGGTTCTGCACCCACTGCAATCTGCTCCTAAGATACCCCTCATTCCCCGGTATTGATAGCTAGGGAAACTTGGGGATTGTATTACTTACACTTCTCACAACCACTTTGGATATTCTTGTTTTTGGCTAGAATATGCAATACTGGATCAGTGCCCAGGATGGAAGGCTCATACAGTAAAGCTGGTTCTTGACAATTTTTTGACTTGCAGAACAGGAGCTTGAAAATTCCCCCTTCGTCCCCACCGCTCAGCCAAATATAGAGCTGGAATTTTAAAACATAGATGACATTTCAAATTTAAAAAATTTGAATTTAAAGTTTTAGAAAAAAAATCACTAATTTTTTCTCCCTTATCTCTGATGATCTCCAGACTCCAACAATGAGATATGTGGGGGCTGAAATATGCTGTCCTTAGTATCGCTTATTGGCGCATCATTCCACCAGTATGGCTGGGGTGCACCTTTATTAAGGTGGGAGCAGGGGGATTCTCTGTGGGACTTTCTGGCAAATTTAATAATTCTAATTAACACATAAGCCTTACCTGATTAATAAGCCATCTTTATATAGTGCTGCTTTGCTTTGCCTACACGGAGCTTTTTCATCGAGGCAGCTAAGTGGTCTTGCTCTGGTCCCTTTTTGTCTATATATTTGTTTTTGTAGTGTTTTCACCAACAGTTCAATTTTCAGAAAGATATGTAAAAACATCAGAGGCCCGCACCATCATTTTGTGGGCCTTAAAATTAGGATTCCCATTCTCTGATATTATCAGAAATATCTGGTTTTAATGTGAAATTCTGATGAAGTAAAAAAAGAGCATTTTACCCACCTTCAGACAGAATTAGAGTTTTATTATTTTTAATTTGAAACTGGCAAAATTTCACCCCTGCTTTTGGAGATTTTTTTTAACCAAATAGAATTTATTCACAGAAAGAATAGAAAGGTATAGTATGTGCTTCTTATATTTTAGCTTTAGATTTTATGCTTTTTGGAGCAAGGATCTTGACCTCCTCTACGTATGCAAAGTATCTAGCACACTCTTGGTGTTAAATAAATATAAATAATATAAATAGTAATATTTAGTTAAGCAATGAGAATACTGTATCAATGTTGTACATAGACAGTGCCACATTGTCAAAGACAGAAACAAACAAATTCATAGAATTCAAGGTCATAAGGGATTACTATGATCACCGAGTCTGCCCTCGGGTATGACACAGGCCATAGAATTTCATGCATTAATTGCTGCATTAAGCCCATATCTTGTAGATGAGCTAGAGCAATTTGGCCTTTCCTTATGCCCCCATCCTCCTCTGCTAAAATCTTGTTCATATCCTAATGAACTTGATTGCTGACACTCACACCTACTTGTCATCCCTGCTTCTCAGATTTTTGCCAATCCAGTATTCAAATTATTGCTGCAAAAGTCATATTCCTCTCCTATTGCTCCGATTGATCCCTCTCCTTGGATCTCTCTTTTTGGTTTCCTGCTCCTTGTTGCATCAAATTCAGGTTCCCTATCCTCATCTCTAAGGCCCTGAAAATTCTCATCCCTAGCTGCATCTGTTTTCATTTCCCACTACTTCCCCTGTGCCCTTTCCAATAATAGTTTGTCTCCTTTCCCCAAATTTCACCTCATGCCTTTTTTCATACTATAGACTATGTCTGGAACTATCTCATTGTCCTCATTTTCCAAGCACCTTTTCTGTCCTGCTTCAAATTCTTCCTTCAACCCCACCTCTTCAAGCAGTCTTACTTTTGTTCTTTTCCTCACGAACAATCCCAACACATCATCTCCTCTCTTGCCTTGTGTGTGCTTGTCCTGGCTTATCTAGATTGTAAACTCTTTAGGGCAGAGAATATATCCCTTTATCAGGGCCATACTCCGATATGCTTATTCACTGATGTCTACACTATGAAATTAGGTCGAATTTATAGAAGCCGGTTTTATAGAAATCGGTTTTATACAGTTGATTGCGTGTGTCCCCACATAAAATGCTCTAAGTGCATTAAGTTGGTGGACCGCGTCCACAGTATCGAGGCTAGTGTCGACTTCCAGAGCATTGCACTGTGGGTAGCTATCCCACAGTTCCCGCAGTCACCGCCGCCAATTGGAATTCTGGGTTGAGATCCCAATGCCTGATGATGCAAAAACAGTGTCGTGGGGGGGTTCTGGGTACATGTCGTCAGGCCCCTCCCCCTCCATCAGAGCAACAGCAGAGAATCGATTCGCGCCTTTGTACCTGGGTTACCTGTGCAGACAACATACCACGGCAAGCATGGAGCCAGCTCAGCTCAGCTCACCGTCACCATATGTCATCTGGGTGCCGGCAGATGTGGTACTGCATTGCTACACAGCAGCAGCTAATTGCCTTTTGGCAGTAGACAGTGCAGTATGACAGGTAGCCTTCATCGGTTATCTGGGTGCTGGCAGATGTGGGACTGCATTGCTACACAGCAGCAGCTCCTTGCCTTTTGGCAGTGGATGGTGTATTACGACTGGTATCCGTCATTGTCATATTCCTCAGTGAGTTCAATCAGAGGCACCTGGGCAGACATGTTTTGTCTCCTGGAGACTCAGTCCTGCCGGCAGTCCTATTGAACCATCTTGACGATGATGGCTAGCAGTCGTAATACAGCATTTTCTGCCAAGCATCCAGAAGATGCCGATGGCTATCAATGATGCTGCACCATCTGCTGCCAGTTTAAGATGTAAAAAATAGATGGACCAGATTTGTTCTATATTCATTTGCTTCCCCCTCCCTCCGTGATACCAATGGCCTGCTAAACCCAGGGTTTTGAGTTTAATCTTTGGGGGGGTATTCTGTGTGACAGTTGTTTGTGTTTCTCCCTGATGCACAGCCACCTTTGTTGATTTTAATTCCCTGTAAGCCATGTCGTCACTCGCCCCTCCCTCCCTCCATCCGTCAGACAATAGTTTCGCGCCTTTTTTCAGCCCAAACACCATAGCACTGGGATCATGGAGCCCGCTCAGATCACCGTGGCAATTATGAGCACTATGAACACCACGCGCATTGACCTGGAGTATATGCAGAGCCAGAACATGCCAAAGCGAAACCAGGCAGCGCGGCGATGAGAGTGATGAGGAAATTGACATGGACATAGACCTCTCACAAAGTACAGGCCCCAGCAATGTGCAAATCATGGTGTTACTGGGGCAGGTTCATGGCGTGGAACGCTGATTCTGGGCCTGGGAAACAAGCACAGACTGGTGGGACCACATTGTGTTGCAGGTGTGGGACGATTCCCAGTGGCTGTGAAATTTTCGCATGCGTAAGGGCACTTTCATGGAACTTTGTGACTTGCTTTCCCCTGCCCTGAAGCGCCAGAATACCAGGATGAGATCATCCCTCACAGTTGAGAAGCGAGTGGCAATAGCCCTGTGGAAGCTTGCAACGCCAGACAGCTACCGGTCAGTCGGGAATCAATTTGGAGTGGGCAAATCTACTGTGAGGGCTGCTGTGATCCAAGTAGCCAACGCAATCAAAGACCTGCTGATATCAAGGGTAGTAACTCTGGGAAACATGCAGGTCATAGTGGATGGCTTTTCTGCAATGGCATTCCCAAACTGTGGTGGGGCGATAGACAGAATCCATATCCCTATCTTGTCACCGG